CCCCCCCCCCCCCCCCCACCTTTTATTTGCTTTAGAAAGTCTCACCAAGATCTGCTGAAGGCCACAGCTCCAAAGGAACTGAAAAGCGAAATGCTGAGTTTTCCCTCACAGAAGCTCTTCTGTGTTGAATCCTTTGGAAAATTCACTCGTCACAATTTATTTAAGCCAGTGGCTAATGAGTTCTGCACGCGGGTGGGAATGCAAAGAGAGTGGTGATGGAGAGAGCAAGAGGTGGAAGTGAGGGGTCTGGGAGAGCTGCAGCTCTTAGGACAGCGGTATGTAAGCCTAGGAGTTGAAAATGGTTTCCTGAGGTTCTGTTTTCAAGGTCAGTCCTAAAGAAAAGGTGACAGAATTGAGGTAGTTGGAGCCTCTTTTTTTTTTTCCCCTTCCTTTCTTTTCTTTCTCTCTTGATTAGCCAGTGCACGGGCTTAATGATGCTGGAGTGAGACACCTGAGCTCTCTTGAAAATCCTGCCTTTGGCAACTATTGAGGACATCTCAAACCTGCTGGTTGCCCTGTAGCAAAGGGGGAAGGGCCAGCACTTATCTGTCCCTTGTAGTCTGACTGCCACAGTTTTTTAAAACGTATTTTTTTCTCAAGAAGGAGTCGAGTGCTTCTTTGAAATGAAGAATTGCTTATGGTGAAAACACATGACTGCACAGCATTAAGGGTTTTGGTTGCCTCCCCCAGCCAAAGACTGCATGAAGCATCTTTTGGTGGAAGCAGCACCAGTTGTGGATTTTGTACTGGTCTAGGAAATCTTTTTGCTTTCTAGAATTCTGCAGACTCTTCAAAGAAGTGGTGTTAATGAAATGGCAGATCCCCTTGAAGTCCCTGACCTATCTTTCCATGAGCTTCAAACTTGCTCTACAGCACTTTAATAGTGCTCTCCCTTTTATGCTGAGGGTTATGCCGTTCCCTAAGTGACAGATGTCTCTTATAGATGAAACCCCAGCTTTTACAAAGATAAGTACATCTTTCTTCACTTTGCCTATATTTGATTTTTGGATACATAACTAGTCATCCTCCTGTAACACGAGGTGCCTTTGTGTGGAGTTTTTTTCAAGTTGCTAAACCTTCTTTTGAGGCCACGACAATTGCAGGGGAACTAAAATGAGCTCCCACAGATTTTGAGTTCTTTGTTTCAAGTCTGATATGAACTTATCAATAAAAACGATCTGATGAGCTGAATACTGGAGGGTTAAAAGTCGCCTTCCTTTCTAAAAGATTTAGCCAGGTTTAGGAAATACTATTATTGTAACCTGGGGGAGAACGTGCATTGTCACAGACTCGACAGCAGTGTCAGGAGAAAAAAGGAGGTTATTTTAGCAGAGTGCAGCATTAAGTTGTGCCTGTTTTTGTTTGGTTTTTTGGTGGTTTGTTTTTTTTTTTCCCTGCTGAATTTGTTTCTCTCTTATAGAGCTTAATAGTTTTTGTTTTTGTGAGAACCACCCACTCTCCCAAGAGAAAAACGCACGACACGCTGAGCAGAAGATGCACCTGTTTTGCAGGAGGAATAAAATGTAAGAAGAGGACAGATAGAAATAATAACCCGTTTTGTAACTCTGTAGACCTAATCTGACAAGGAATACCTAAGTGCTCAGAAATAGAAAATCAGAAAACGAACAAAGCTTCTAAAAACCCACAACCTTTCTCATTTCAAAATGTGGATGAATAAATGTAAATTGTAGAATACATTTGCAGATTTGGGTTTCTTTCCTTCAGGGTTTCAAATGCATAGGAATAGAATGAACCCCTCAGTATTAATTTCCTTCCAGATACCTATACTTCTTAAAATAAAGCATCTTCTTATGTTGATTAGAAAGTGATAGCAAATAAAGCATTATTGGAATGATTCTATATCTAACGATATTTCAGGCTGTTTTGGACAGTAAACAATTATTATTGATCAGAAAAGTGTAACTTGGATTCAGATACATGTAATTCACGTAGCCTAATCCATCCAGTCTTACTTTTGAGATGTTTCATGTGGCTATTTCACACCTTCACACCTCTAGTGTGAATCAATTAAACTGATGGTCATCTGAGTGGAAAAGCTGGTTCCTGTTTGGTTTTTTCCCCAAGAGGGAAGGTCACGGATGGTGGAAATAGGAAAAATATCCACTTCCTCCCCACCTCATCCCACTTAATTAAAAAAATATTTCTGGATCCACTGTTACCATTCCAGGTTCTTAAAGAAGAATTCTATTAGATTCTAAAGAGGATTGTTCTTTGATGTTTAATATAAGGAAAGAGTACTTAAGTAGCTGTATGGAACAAACTGCCCAGCGGCATTATGTTCTCTCTTTCACTTGTGAATATTACAGCTTAGAAGTTTTCTGGCACTATAGGAATGTTCATCATTGCATGATTTCTCACACACAGAAAATGAAGGATTGAGCAAGACAAAAATTCAAGACACATTTTTTCAGATTAAACGATGCATGTTCATTTCTATTTGGCAGACGTATACAAACTTTCTCACTGAATAAGCCAGCAGGTTTTGGTTATTTATGTGATGAAGATTTGTTTTGAAAGATATTTTTAGCAGATAAAGCATGCTTTCATAAGAGCAGAGCTATATTAGAGTAATGGGAAGTAAGAGAAAGAGGGCTGTTGGCTTAAAGACAGCCCCAGCTTTTTGAATTACGGAGCTCTTTAGTGATTATCGTGCGTGTATTTCCTGTGGCAACTGACAGTCACGTTGTACATTCAAGCAGAGGGTTGGAGTGGATCACAAACTCATCAGGATGGGACTTCCAGCAGTGGAATAGCAGGAATACTGTGGTAAGATGCAGGAAGCAACGTGCTCCTCTGTGCAAGCACTATGGGCATCACATCCCAAGAAAGAAAGAAAGAAAGAGTGTCTATCTAAACATCTAACAAGACGTTTATGCAGAAAAATTGTAGGAGTTTGGATTGCTAATCTAGAAAGGGGAACTGAGAAGCATGTTTATCTTCTGGTCAGTAAAAGGTTATGATGTTCTATTGTTCTCTATTTCTTTCAAAGATAAATAATGAGTGAGTTTGGATTAAATAAAATGTAGGCTCAATTTCATAGGATAACGAGGTAGAGAGCTGGGCAGTGGTGCAGGGTATTACAAAGTTGTAGAAACTCCTTTGGCACAGATATTATTAAGATCTGTAAGACAAAACCATACCAGCCTGGTCCAGGTTCAGAGAACAAGCAATGAGTCAGTGAGCCATCCCAGCATTGTTTTTCTAACTACATTCTTCCCTACTTCTCTTTTATTCATTCATTCATTTATTTATTATTTAATGCAGCTGTTGTTCTAAACCAAACTGTCATCAAGCACATCGTCCTGTACACCTTTTCACCTGCACCAACTCCCTTTTGCCTCATAAGAAAGCTTAACCTGCAGGAGGAGTTGATGTCTTAGGTTAAAAGTCTAGATTTCTGTGGTTCATCCTCTAACTGGAATTGCAAAGTAAAGTTAAAATGTTCATGTTTGCAGAACAATTTGTTGTAAATGTGTATCCCAGTCGTGATCGCACTGAGGCGGCCTAACGCCAGACGTGAGGCCTGAACACACGGTGAGGCTCTGCCTAGAGGATGTGTCAGAATTTCGTATGTATATTCATGGATATACATTGGCATTCTAGATGTTATTGCCTCTTTTTTTTGTTTAAAAAAAAGTAATTAAAAAAAAAAAGAAAAAGGTGCATAAGAAGTTTACCACAAGCTCTCTGTCTGCTGTGTTGTCTCTCCCATAACCTGCTCCTTGGCTGGAATAGAGGCCAGGCCCAGGCACTGAGTTTTTGGAAGTCATCTAAGGATTCATTTTCAAAGAAAAGCACCTTGAAAAGCACTGAGACTCTCCCAGTGTGACTGTACCCAGGGAACTATAATGATCTTGGAAGGTGTACGGAAAAAAAGTCATAGAGATGAAGCAAGTCATCCAAGAGGATGCAGTGAGCTAACAATGGCAGAGCCACTAATGGGACACAAACAGAAAAGCCTTATCTTGTGTCTGTAGCTGTTTTTTGGCTGCCTCTAGTTATGTCCAGGATTTCACTGGGGGTCATCAGAGTTCACCATCACACTTTGCTGCTTCTTGCTGTGGCCACCACAGCTGTGTAAGGAGCCTTTCCCTAGTTACTCCTCTGAGTTGTGCTGCGTGCAGGAACGGATGGTAGATTTATCAACAACTCCAGTCAATATTATTTGAAGGAATGTATAAAATTCCTTCCTCTTTTACAGTACAAACCACATCAGCAACAATTTAAAAAACTGCTTGACTGACTGGCAGATCTGTGGGAGGGGAGGCAGCTATTTCTTTTGCCTTCACTAGACTTTAGGTGCTCAGGGCAAAAAGAAGAAGGTTGGTTTTTTTGGGTTTTTTTTAAGACATCCCGATAAAGAGGTTTTCTGTTCATATAATGTTAATTGTTGTTAATTTGGGACATGAGATGGTCTGACTGGGCCACGCAGTAAGTGTAAAACCAATCTGAAAATCCAGAGCCTGTGTTCTTTGCAGCAGTGATGAGACTAACAGTGTATGTTAAAGAACTATTCACCTGTGGATCCTACGATTCACCTACTGGATCCTACCTACCTACATGGTACCAGTGATTGGTGACCTCTTCAAGAAGTTTATTATTTCACAGTATTAGGTCAAAGGGCCTCGACCAACAGTAATCAAAGCCAGTGGACGTGTGGCTGCTAATTTTGCAAGAGGGCTTTCCTTTTGTTGTTTTAGTAATGAAAAATCTGAACCAGCAACAGGATTTTGAGCTGATAGCCTACCTTAAAGTTGTTAAAGGGAATGACACATTGATACTTCGATTTAGCTAATTATTTTTCTTTCCCTATCCTGGTTGAGAACGCATTCAGCGGACCCACAGGTGGTGGAGTGGGGAAGCAGGGTAAGAGGCACGTGGGTGTTGCTCCCCCCACCAGCTGCTGCATTTCAGAAGCACCATAAGAGG